ATTTTTTTCTCCCAGTCCTTATCTCAACTCATAAGCCCTTTGTTAATCTTTTTTTCCCTCTCCTCTGTCCAACTACAGAAAAAGAGGGTGAACAAATGACTTTCATGGCTACCTGACAATTGGCCAATATCAAGCCACAACACCAACTGAACAGAGCCCTTGCAACACAATGAAGTGCTATACTTACTGTGGCACTGATGTAGGAACTCCGACATAAAGATACTTGAGATAATGGGAATAGAGATAGAACCGCACTACTTCACAAAATGTTTTGTAAGAGGCTTTAGAGAATCATAGATTCATAGAATGGCTGGGGTTGGAAGGCACCTTAAAAGATCTAGTTCTAGCCTCTCTGCCCTGGAGAGGGATGCCTCCTACTAGACCAGGTTACTCAGAGCCCCATCCAGTCTGGTCTTGAACACTTCCAGAGATGGGGCATGAACAGCTTCCCTGGGAAACAAGTTCCACTGTCTAATTACCCTTACAGTAAAGAATTGTTTCCTAACATCTATGCTAACTCTATAATTTTTCAGTTCATTCCCCCTTGTCCTGTCACTACATGCACTTGTAAATAGTCTCTCTCCAAATTTCTTTTAAGTTCCCTTAAGGTAGGCCACAATTAGGCAACCCCAAAGCCTTCTCTTAGCCAGGCCAAACAATACTAATTCTCTCAGCCTTTCCTCATACCAGAGGTGCCCCATCCATCTGATCAATTTGTTGACCCTTCTTTGGACATGCTCCAACAGGTTCATGTCCCTCCTATGCAGGGGACCCAAGAGCTGGACACAGAACTCCAGGTGGATGTCAGGGACTGAAATGTTAAAATTCATGGCTCAAACATTATCATAAAGACTTCTGCCCATTATTGCAAAACTGTATCACGAAGATGCACCACCAAAGCTCACCCTGAATGCGTCTCCTGACTGAAACCCTAAACTGTGAGTTAAACTGGTCAAGGCTATTCAAGATAAGAAAAGTGACATTATTGTTCAAATATTGTTAATCTCAGGCTTAGGAAGTAATGAATAAGGCTGGTAGACCATTCACAAAAGCACTAAGCCCAGCAGCTTCAGGGTGGAGGCCACAGCTCCAGGCTTACCTGTTGCCAGGCTTGCACAGACACCCCACCATGGGGCAGAAGGAGGGTTTCAGGTGCATGTGAAAACCTCTGGTCAGAGGCAGTGAACACCCATACTCCACTGTGCAGACTAGCTGAGCTGCGGAACCCCCCACCTCAGGAAAGTCACGTCTACAGGAGATTCACATGAGGAGTAGGTAGCTGAGCAGGTTTCATGGCCCATCAAAGGCCCCCTGAAGGGTTCCCCAGACCTTGCACCAGAGCACTGCATGAGATGCAAAATAATGCAATTGATCCAAAGTCAAACCTGGCTCTTCTTGAGAGACAGCTCTTCACACTCGATCCATGTACTGATGCAGAGCGAAACCTCTCCACCACTTCTTCCTCCCCTGTACTGTCTGAACAGCCTGTAGCCATCCACAGCTGAACTCCAGCCATGGGATTCATCCTACTGAATTTCAGTAACGGCAACCAGGTCATAACTTTCTAGCAGCACAGTGGCTTCCAACTCCTGTTTGCTGTGCTGTGAGGATTGGTGTAAAGGCACCTCAGCTGGGCCGTCAGAAGTGCCACCTTCCTAGAGGTGCACCTCTTAATTCTTTTGAGATATTTTCCTGATGTTTCTCTGTCGGCTCCTCAGGATTCTCTTGCTCATCTGTATAAGACTGCAGGTGTGCTTGCCAGAGACAAGCCTGATATTGTCCCCCTCCCCCACCACATCTGGTTTAAAGTTCTGCCAGTGAGCCCTGCTAGTTCCCAAGCAGACACTCCTGTGCTGAGAAAAGTGAGTCCATCTGATGTCAGCATATCCAGTGCTGTGTGGGCCTTTCCATTTTTAAAAATTAGCTCAAGTTGGTTCAAGCAGAGCACTGATAACACTATGGTCAGGGTTTGATCCCCATACAGGCCATCTGCTTAAGAGTTGGACTCAGTGACACTTGGGAGTCCCTTTCTAGTCAGAATATTCTGTGTTATTGTGTGCATTCTGTGCTCTCCAAACAGACTGGGCTTTATAAAGTCTGTGTCATAGCAGATTTCCCATAAGCATGATCATAAGCATGACCTTTGTGTTCCTGGATTCTTCCTAACCTAAGAATCTACACAAATTTCAGTGACAATTACTTTCCAGTAATGCCCACAATTATGCTCTTATGTACAGGTGGTATTTCTCTGCCAGCGCCATCAGGCCAAGTACTCATCTTTACCTCTGCCCACAAGTCATTCTGTCCAGCCCATGCGCACAACAACAAGAGGGAAAAAAATATCAGTGTCTGAGTCCCCAGACTGTCACCAACTACTCCGTATCCTTCTCCTAAGGCAGGATCAGCAGTGTCAATGTCCGGTACAAATGCCTACGGCTTCTCCAATTGCTCCATAAGTATCTATCTTCATGAAGAGATAGCAATACCAACCTTCCACAGTCCATTCCTGTGTTTCCTGCACCTACACTCTCCTACTGCCCTGAATCCTTGCACACTTCCTTCTATATACTTACATCATGTTCATATCTATCTCACCATGTTCTTTAAGGCTGTCTCCCTTCTCCATACGTGCCTTTTGTTTTATCCAACTGCTGTTAATCCTCATGGGTGTTCTCTGAAGGAAAGGATTTCTTCCTGTCTTACAGGAATTTTTCAGCATGATTTTTGGGTTTTTTTCTTTCTAATAAGGTGATGTCTTATTGTGAGGTGCCTTAGGGAGGCAAAGACTTAGTTTCAGATAAGCATTGTTAACGTGAGAGGCATGGCTGTAAGCCCAGCTAGTGTGAATTTTGACCTCCTGCTTTGGGAGAGGGGCTGTGTGAGCCCTGGATGAAATTGTCCCACCCCAAACCCCTTGTGAAGGGCGCCCCAGGAGTTCTGATTGGGTTTGAGCCCCTAGGGTTTCTCCTTTGCTGTGTTCCTAGTGGTCCCTGACCCTGAACTCCACCCTGGTTCTGTCCCTCAAAACCCATCACCCTGCCTTTGTTCAGGGCTCTCTGTCTCTGGATCTGAGTTTATTCCCATGCTGAATAAATGGTTTCATGAAGAGAGGCCCGCCTCGTTCTTGTCCCATGCTGGTTCCTGGTAACTGTAGCTTCCCTGGACATGATCCTGCAGTTGCAGACTGCAACATTATTGTATTATATTTGGCTCCTGATCCATACTAATCCTTTAGTTCTTGTATTAAGGACTCCTTTCCTAGTTATTCTGCATTCAGCATTGTCAATAGTAACTATATAGGCTTAATACATTGTCCTTACTCAATTTTGTTGTTTTGTTTTGGTTTTTTTACAATTCAGCCACCCACCTTTGGATTTTAGACTTCTTTCTCAAGGCATGCACAATCTTCCCAGACTTTATCAGTAACTTTTATGTGGGCACTGCTGAGCAATTAAACAGAAGGTGACCCAGGAAGGACTTTCTGCTGAGGTCCACTTTACACCTTCTTCTAATTTTATAATGCATCACCTAGAACAGCTCAGGAACAGATATCCAAACAATTTTACACAAATCCACAGACAGAATTTCCATCAAACACAGATTTTCTATCACTTTTATGATAATGTCCTGTCAAACCATGCTAGAATGCTTATGTGTCAAAATCTAATAGTACAGTTTCTTCTATAGCCACAGTGACAGCAAATAGCCTGCTGTAGAAGAAAACTAAATTAGGTAGACACAACTTGTTTTTAACCAACACCTACTCACCTCCTCCCTACATGCTGGAAGTTTACAAACAGGTTTTTATGGTTCCCGAGTTTGTGGCATGGAAGTCATCTCCTTCAAACTGCAGTCTTTCTCAGCTTGCACTGTGTTTAACTGACAGCCTGAAGTATAGCAATACAAAACATTGCCAACCAACCTCTCGGGGGAGTTTCTGCCTTGTAAGTTTGGAGCAAAATGTTGATCTCTGTGTGTCACACAAGTAATTCCTCTATCTCTGGAACAGAAGCATGAGAAATCCCTTCCATGTGTAAGGAGCTCTGGATGCTGTAACTGGTACAAGCCACAGGGAAAGCAAATCCAGAACCTGAGCACTGGTTTGATTTCCTTCCTGGGTAAGTTTGCTATTATCTTAACAATAGCTTGTTTCAGAGGTCTGGCTCTTCTACTTGACCATCTTTGGCACAGTTTGTAGAAAATTACCTCCAAGGCTCTTGCCTCTGTAAGATTTGGGCAAAATAAGCATGGAGCTCTGAAGCTATCAGGGAAATGCAGTGGTATGATGACACTCCTCTTGTTTCCATGGGAAACCATGTCCATAAATTCCAGATAAGAGCAGACTGAGTGACACAACAATGTATGAGCCAACCCACCAGCTGTTTTTGAATTTTTAGCAGTCACAGACATTAATTCTGAGTGAGTAACATTCTTGAATTATAGCTATGCCTTCACACAACAGCTATTTCCGGCTTGATTATAATTGCTTATGAAGATCCATGAATGTCTCAAAAATGGTCTTTTACATGAAGTGAGAGGAACCATGGTAAAAGGGAAGCAGGAGGGGAAGGGCAGGTGCAAGGCTACTATATAGCCACAATCTCACTCCCTTAAATTGGAAGTGCAGTCTTAGATAACATACACTGAAGATCCCCACTTTGTTCTCCCAGATGTACTCACTCTGACCCAGTTTTTTCTATTTGTGGAAATACAGGCAACTCATGTTAAACCATTTCTTGCTACTTGTCTTTGTTGATTCACAGGCTTGCAGTTTTCAAGTATTTGTTCTAGTCGCAAAAACCAGTTTGATATGCAAAGTAATCACTATCTCACTAACTAATGGTCTCAAATCTAATGCAGTCTCCCTCCTCCTGAGAGTCAGAATTACTGATAACTGTGTAAGGAAAAAAATTATCCTCATAGTTCAAGGCATTATACTGGCAGCTGCACTGTTCTCCACAAACATGATGTATGAAAAAACAAACAATATTTACTCCAAATACAGTTTAATGCTGCAAAGTATTACATATTTTCCAGAAACATTTGGTATACAAACTTAAACGGAGATAGAAGAAACCCCTAACCCCACACCACTCCTTACACATTACTTCTTGAGTTGTTAATGACTGTGAATTGAGCGTTCGCCACCACTGAAAAATAAGTATCCTTTCTTGAAAAACCTGAAGTTTAACATTAAAGGAATGATGGATATCACATGTCAATATTTACAAAACACTCACAGTATTGCATCCCACTAAACAGACTAAAATACTAACTAAACCTAAGCACTAGGAACTAAATCACTTCCTGCTGGCAGTAAAGAAAGCATTCTGGGGCTTTAAAACCTGCAGGCACATATAAATCACTTTATACAGCATGTAATGTAATACAGCTCCTTGTGCATTCTCTATCAATCTGTATGATCCAGTGCACAAACCCTCCCATATGCCAATCATATACTTCTTTGGGTACTAATATTATTATTAGTGTAGGTGCAATCTGTAAAACTGTGAATCTTGTAAAAAAATCCAATTTTATTTTTTAAAATTAGTGTAGCTATTTTTGGTTATATAAGTTAATACTAATTTAATGTAAAGTGCAATAACTAAATCTAAAAGTGGTAAGCTGCTGCTACAGTGGAATACACCAACAAGTTTTACAGTGAAGCTTTGAACAACACATAACAATCTTTGTTCACAAAATCTCCCACAAAGGGTAAAAAAGATATTAGATAATAAAAATACAGGACATGACTCTTGGCCTGTTATCTGCATTAATTTACTTCTTCAACAGCTGAATGCCCTTCTGAGATTTTTTAAATTACAAAATTACTTCCTTGTGAGCAGTCAGACTCTGCAGAGTAGAAGACAGCAACTGACAGCAGATTAACTAGAGCCCTGTGAGTCAGAGGTTGCTTTCAAGCAAAATATTAAGTAGAAAGGCTCCAGTCACTTTGAATAGTACATTATGTCTGCAGTTATTAGCTTCCCAAGCAATACTGAAAATAACTTATTTATCATAACATAATAATTTAGCAAACACTATCAAAAAGTCTTACTCAAAGTAGGACCATGTTAGGCATCAGAAAACTTAGCTGGGTTCCAGCCAGCAATCCTATCTTTATAAGGATCTAATAATAGAACTTTTAATACCTGAGAAGTGTCTGAAGCTGAGCATTTCATAATTGGGGGGAGAGGAAGGAAAAGGAAAAAAATAGCTGTGTTTCAAAGAGTAACAAACATCACCGCATAAATTTTCACAAAGAGATTTCATAAAAAATTTTATCACTGTGTGCCAAAAAATAGATGTTTCAAATCTACTAGCAAGTGGTATAAATATGTACTATTCCATTGGAAAGGCTTTATGCTGCTTTTATGATTTGGCAGTCATCTGACAGTAGTCTACTCACCCATTTTGAAGGTCTCAAAAAAAAGTGGTATCTCCCACTAACAATTTGGTACAAGAGTATCAGTATACAGCTGATACTCTTCTTGCTTTCTAAGCATAATTTTTAATATAAAAGTTTAAAAGGTTTTTAAACTCTTGAAAATTAATTCAGCCCAAAGTTCTTGCTAAAAGCCGCTTTCATAAAGATTATACTGTATAGAGTACATTTTTGCATTGATGAAAAACAAGTATGACATGAGACATGTAGGTAAAAGAGAAAATCGTATTTCATGGTCAACTACTAAAAAAGGAAATGATACTTATTAACAAAAGTGTACATTCAAAGCCTTATCCCACTTAGAGGTCTGATATTAGAGTTCTGAGGAATGTGAGTAGACCCTTCTTTCTCCAAAACTGCAGCTGTTAGCAGCTACAATTGCTCATACTTGAAAAACATGCCTGGAATTTGCACAATTTTTTTAAACAGGCCTTGTATTAATTGCTTGCAAGAACTACAGCCATTTCTGAACCTCCACACCAATAACCTTAAAACTGAATGGACCTAAAACATCCTTTGTCTTTACAAAATGAACTGAAAACACCCAGAAAAATCAGAATCTTTTGCAAGAATGCAAGACTCAATATCACATTTCATTGCTCACTGAAATCTAGGTCTTCAGCCTGGCTTTTAAGCAGTTACTTACTTTTTTCCTAAGTATAACCAGCAGAGCACTGGACTATTTTTTACATCACTTTGCAATGCACTGGTGAGAAGACAGCTCTTAAATTAGACATGCAGCTAGGCACCTATGAGTTTTTACAGTGTAATCACACTGTCAATCAATGCTGACCTGAGATCTTACTGAAGGTAATGTCCACAATTCTGTGAGCACTTCAATGCCAAATTCAAGACCAAACATGCCTCAAGAGGTAGAGAGAGATTTCTGTGACATTTCTGCAAGAAGGAAATATGCAGCATATAAGTATTCACAGGACAGTGGAAATACAATAAAATCCTTGAACTCTTACCTAGTTTTAGGGACTTCTGTCAGCTCCCTCTGCATTTACACTGCCTAATTGCACTTACAGAATAATCCAGCTGCAAACTGCAGCTTCATCTCCTTTTGTACTTGGGAAAGCAACCCTATATTCTGTGATCCAAAGTGATGCACAGCCTGGTGCCACACCAGGCTGGGAATAGCACGGACTTCGAGCACTCTCTTGTGGCCATGTGTAAGTGCAGCAAAATCAGAGCTAAGAAGGACACAGGATGGCATGTAGGCATCTTGGACTGCCTTCTTTTGCAAACAAAGTTACAAAAGAAGTGGATCAAGCACTAAAGGTGACCTACTACAAAAAGATCATTCCTTGATCCTGGTATTTGAAAAGGGCTTTTATCAAGGGAAATGCTACATCAAAAACACAGTGCAAAAAACAAAGAAGCCATTTGGTTACTTTAGTGCTCAAGTGCCCCCATGTTCTTGCTTCCTCTGTCTTCTTCAGAGAAGAATGAACACACTTCCGTTCTCTTCCTATGACACTTGAAGTGCTGCCTATCTTAGGAAGAAGAGAAAATACAACACTAGTAACTTATCATTATATAAATAGTGTCTTTGCTGGAATATAAGTTGAAAATCCATCCCCATTCCATGGCTTCCAACTTCATGTCATCTTCACAGATGTTTTTTTGTGTGCGCAGAGGAGGGTGACATAGGGAACTCCAATGAATGCCCACCTTTCACTGGGCCAGAACTTTATGACAGGGCCCTGCTCAGGGATCTCAGAGGCAGCATCGAAGTAAGCAAAGCAGACACATCCCAGATATGCCGCAAGGCAAATCAAAATATGCCTGAGAATAGCCGGCAAGAAAGAAAAAAAAAAAAAAAAAGGTAGGAAGAAAAAGAATCAGTAATAAAAATTCAGTAAAGCAATTAACTGTATCATCATACTTTACAATCAGTCTGTCCTTCACCATCTTATCACAAGCCACCCACAGCATTGCTGTCTGTCCATTGCACGGAGGCAAAGAATATAGAGTGCAAGGAAAACTATAAAACTGTAGTTTATCCCTGGTCTAAACAGGCTCCAGCTTTTTGGCTTCTCTACACCTGTCAGGTATGTGCAGAAATCTGATATGGCACCTCAAATAAGTAACTATGATTTGCTGAGTGGTAAAAGAGAAAAGGGATCAAAGCCCTCCACTGCTCTTCCACTTCACCATCATTAATTAATCATTAATCCTCATTCATCATGAGGATTACAATCATTATCAATGGCAGTTTAAGTTTTCATAGTCATAGCTATCGTTTTTAGTAACCAGTATGGCAAGGAATTCTGTTACAATTAATTAACCTAGTGGCTTAAGACAATTAGGCCTAAGAGATTCCTAAATCCACCACCCTGAGTAGCACAGGACTTGTTATGGGCTTATAAAATCTTACCATTAATTCTGTCTAGAACTAACCAGAAATAGCCATCAAGCAGCACAGAAGGGTATGTGATGAGGACGGATCACATTTGAATTAAGTTCTGGACTTTATACACAACACTTACCATACACAGTGCAAATAGGGAAAGTTAAATGAGGACCAGATCTCACAAAACACTTTGTCACTGATCCAGCAGAAAAGTGCTAGCATCCACCAAAGACCCGAAAAGAGACCCAGTTTGTATACACGCAGGTTTTCACACCTAAGGAGAAAAACATAAATAGTTATAAAACAATGCCGAACACATATCATTATAACGACTCCACTATAAATGTCCTTAACAGATGAACTTCATTTACAGTAAGTCTGGCTCTAATGCAAGGCAGAGGTGAGGTAACAAAACAAACCTTTTTATCAGTAGCTGTATTTTGGGTATAATCTTAAATACCAGTGTACCAATGGTGGGTAAACATCAAATTATTCCTGTACCTAGGGAGGGGTGTAATTAGTGATTAAACAACTAGCCATGCAGCAAATGCTCAGATTTGTTTGTATTTGTACTGTATAAAGACTTCTGTTAATGCTAAGGCATTTATATTCCTCAGTGAGAGGTGCTACTGTTCCCAACAGCACTAAACCACATACCTAAGCAGATACGCATATGAATCAATTTTGTTTATGTGACGGATAAAACAACATCACTGAGATGAGTACTTGTGCGTTCTGACAAAGGAAAGGGTGTGTGTACTAAGAATATGAGGCTTTCCTGGACATGTCTGAAGAAGATAAACATGCAACTGCATCCGATTAAAGATAAGAGGTTTGGCCTCAAACTTAGGAGCTCCTTTAGTCAGGACCTGACTACCTGAATACCAAGAGGAAAAGGCATTTACCCTGCATGGTTCAAAGAATTCAAGGTTGTAAAGGAAAACTGAAGGCTTACTTACCCAGTGCAAGATCTGCCATAGCAATGGTACAGACTATAATGACAGGTTGGCTCAGTACCACTATCACTGGAAATTACTCTTATAAACTTAAGTCTAGATATTGTAGGGTACTCTGCAAAGAACTACTTTAAGGCAGAAAGATCACACCAAGAAGAGCACAGCCTGCTGATCTCTCCAATACTCCTGGGTTTTCTGAGATCATGATCCACCCATCAGTTTCTTCAGTAACTGTGCTTCAGACGGGGTGAGGACATACTTGCTGAGGAAGCAGGGGACTGCAAAGCCACAGCTTTTACCACAATGAAGAGATGTAATGCAAATACCACCACGGACATGTAGCTTTTCTTTTATTTCTCAACAGACATGGACACTGATAAGAACTAAAACAGAAGTTGTTAGCTGAAGGTCTAAAAGACAAATTCATGCTGCCCTGATCCTGTAGTACTCTATTCTGAAACAAACTGAATCCCACAGATCTTGCACTTCTATTTCCCCTTTCGTCTACACAATGCACAATATTCTCTGTTTAACAAAAAACAGTTATTCAAATATCAGCATTTTTGCAAACACTTGTGAGCTCCAGTCTTTGCTGGAGTTTCCAGTCTCTTAAATTTGCTATTTAAGGGACACTTAAATACACACTTCCAGCAGCATTATCTTCTAATGTCTTGAAACCCCCAAAAAAGCACTACAGGTTTTCTTCAAACCAGTGCAATGTTGATTGATTGAATTTTACACTGGTATCTCCCTTTCTAGCCTAAGGAGTATTTTAAACTTTCAACTAGCTTAACCTTCTAGTCAAGGGAATAAAGGAACCTGCGATAATGAAGGCTCCCCCCCCCAGTCAGATTTCCAGTAGAAGAATCAAATAATAATGGTCAGACCAGAAACAAGGGTAAACCTTCACTGTTCAAAGCTCAGAAGTCAGCTGAGCAACAACATTCTAGCATCTATCTGCACATGGAAGAAGTTATATTCCTGATGGTAACTCTCTAAATCGCTACTAATTTGATGGCATTATAATCTCAAGGGTTTGGACTAGGAAAATCAAAGGATACACATCCATCTTCCCATTGATACCATCTTCTAGTAGAGCTTTTTCTTTTTTTTTCTAAGAAACACAGGAATGGATTTGTTGTGACAAAAATGAGAATTAAGTTTAACAATTTCTTTGTCTTTCACGGACACTTGACTGTCATCTTTTGCTCTTTTGATCACCTCCTACCCACAGTACTTCCTAGCCATACACTTCACTTTACCAGGTCCACATCTAAGAATGTAATGCTCTTTTGGGACAATGTTATCTCCTCATCAAAGACAAACATTAAGCAGAAAACTTTTGTTTGAAAACACAGTGGTTCTGATTCCCCAGAATTCTGTACAAAATTGACACAGCCTAGAATAGGATTAACAACAAGGAATTTTGGTCTAAAATATCAAAAACTTCAGCATGGAACAGAAGCAACTTCTCCTTTCTTCCCCAAGTACTTATTTCACAGAAAAATTTCCACTGCAGACTGCCAGACTTGGATGTGAAGTCCCCTCCCGGCTATGGTAGCACAGAATGGAAAAATATCAAACCTTTTAAAAAATGCTTAGTTTTCCCCCTGCAAAAGGGGATGAGATGACTCCTTACCTCTCACTTTACAAGAATGTAACCCTTCACATTTTGAAAGGATCAGCATAGCTTAAAATAAAAGTTTTTTATTTGCCTTTTAACTTAGAAATTAATCCACAAATATCAGCAGTATTAAACCATCCCAATGCACAAATAGAGAGGGCCCTATGTCACTCCTGGTCTCTTCTTATTCAACAATTGAAAATGAAGGTCCATCTGTGTCCTTAATTCTCTCTCTAAAAAAAAAGACTGGGAAACTCCAGACATTTTAGTAACATATGACTGTCCTAGGGTGACTTTATGATGCTGGATTTCCTCCCAAATCTGTCCCAAACCAGGAGAATGACCCTGCAGAAAGTTTTAAGAAACAAATACCAGTAGGTATACCAATTCCTAGATTTGAAACAACAGTACTCAAACTTAGGAGACACTAGCAATTTGTTCTTTCAAGTTTCGCAGGAGCTCATGCCTGGAAAATTGATACGGAACTGACAGACAATTCACAGACTATCCAATGCCACAACCAGATGTCCCTTTGCTCTGTCAGTAGCTACTTCATGCTGTCGTCAAAATGAGACACTACCAACATTGTTCCAGTACTGACCTTGTCCACAACTAATTTGTGTGCTTTTTCCAAGTGTCTTTGACCACAGAAATACATGGAAAGATGTCTAATGAGAAGACTCATGAACACCTTTACACAAAACATTGTCTGGAGGGGCTTCCATTGTATAGCAGTGGCAGATCAGGGTAATGTAGCAAACAGAAAAAACTCGACTTTAACAGACACAATCAGAATGAAGACATTTTGCTCTAACTCATTTTGATGGACATATGCAACATATAAGAGCAGGTGTAAGTTTTAAAATCTTTCTCAGACATTGGAGAAGGACAAGTTCAAATGCTAGTACTCCTCCGGTCCTTTTCACAGTGAGCGTAGAGATGAAAAAAAAGTCTCTGGACAGCTGCTGGTATCCCTATAACAGAGTAACTGTCTAAAATGTGAAAATTTGTCTCAGGTTCTTCTCTATTTGCATTCTAGTTTTATGTTTTCTACAGCCTTGACTAACACCTATCCTCCAAAATGTAGTGATTAACCTTATCTTTGTCACTCTGACTCCATCATATTTTTCGTATCAGATAACAAAGTCATGCAAGACTCACAGTACGACTTTGGGAGTTGGAACATCTTCCACATGTGCTTGGGCCTTGCTTCACATTCCCACTAGCATCCAGACTGCAACCATGCCATCACCTCACCCTTACGCACACTATTCAGAAAAAATGCTGTCCATAAAGCCAAACCTGGGCCCTAATTTCACAATAAATAAACAAGTTTGAGTTAAATCAGGTTGCAGAAAGAGGTACGTTGCTAGAACACAGAAAATATGTGACCTACTATAATGTCCTAGGAAAAAGAAATCCTTGTAAAAAATCCTTGTAAAAAAATATCTGAACAGCCAAGCAAATTTATATTAGATTTGCTCTTGTATGCAGTAGAAGAATTTCTGATCTGATGTCACAAGCACTAAAGCCAGATCTAGTATATCATCTCACAGTGTTCTAAGGATCTGAGAAGGCAACACTGCCTACATTCAGAAGAATTCTACTTACCTCTTCAACTCAGCAATGAGCAAAGCTGTGCAGGGAACTCCCAGTGTCATTAGCGAGATGTTGTTAATGGCAGGCTTAATGAAGGCCAGGCAGGTGGTAATTCCAGACAGGACACCCACAGCAGCTTTAAATCGGCTCCTGAACAGAATTTATATGGGCAGAAAAACTGCTTTTGATTCAAAACTTTAAATTACTAAACCCAGAAATTTCAACGTTATCTTAATAATGTAACAAAATTTAGGTCTACCTCTTCACACAGCACTGTACTTCCTCAGAAATGTTCTGTCTCATCATTCTTCAAGCTTGTAACATGGATTTTTAGAATATTTTCTTATTGCAAATGCCCTAACTTCTAGAGTTATGTTACAGTCTGCTTTACTTTCCTTTATCTCTTTAGAGCCTTCAAAGATACTGAAACTGACATGCTAAGTTAGAACATTTCCTTAATCAAATTCAAAAGGTAAGAAATTCCCAGACTTTTTTATAAGACTAAGATTTGGTATATTCTTAGCAAATACGAAATCACCATTGTGCCCTATGTAGACAGCCTGACAACTTTTAAATTAAATATATGTTAACTGTTGTTTAAACTTCAGGTTTGCAATTGAAACAATCCACATTCAGTCCTATGGCTGGGCTATGGCAGGAAGAGGATCACTGCACTGCCTTTTAATTACTGGACCATAGCCTTTTAAAACAATTGTTGTCCAAGGATGGCCTTCAGTGTTTGAAGTAGGGTCTCAATATATTTGTACAGTAACATTCCATGGCCACAAATGTCATTACCTTCACCTAGGCTCATTCCATTTGCCTTTTGCTTTAAAGTGTTTCTTTCTGCTGGAAAGCAACAAGTTACTTAAGTAGAAAGTTCTGATCCGACATGAATGTCTTAATGAACAAATACATCACAAATGTGTCATCATAGATAATAACATTTTTCAATAGCATTGAAAATTCAAAGTGTGATGAGGATGAAGAAAGGGAAGAGTACAGCTGTGAGCACACAATAGACATAATACTAGAGGATTAGTCAGGCAAAGCAAAAAATTTAAAAGTATTAACTAAACATGTTCTAGGTTAGGGTTTTGTCTTGGATTACAATGTAAGGTATGTGTTCTATCATCACCTATAGCACCTTCTGATGAGCTGTTAAATGGTCAGTCATTTGCAGCAGCTACCCAATGCACACTCAGCCTAAAGCAGAGCCATCTCCGCTCATAGGCCATCAAGGATTCCCCAGAATGAGTCAAAGAATTTGTGAGATGCCCCACCCTGAGGAGAGGTACCTAACATTCCTACCTGTATATAATATGGGACTTGGGATACCACGATACCACCACTGGATTCCCAGAGGACAAGAGCTCTCAATAACCACAACTGGAACTCCAGAGAAGGACTAGACCTTTCTACAGGAACACTGCTTCGACAAGACAACATCCATCACTCCAATGGGACTGCTGCCACCACCCTGACCAACAGGGTGTCTAGGCATATTCTGACTTTGTCAGTTTAAGCCAGTGTTTCTGTACTATCGCCTTCACTGCAAATTTTTCCTGCCAAATTGTAAGTCTGACTTGGAATGGCTCTCAAGGTATTTGTGTGGAGTTAACTCCTTCTGCTGGTTTGCCTTCAAATCAACACAGGTTCATTGTCCAGTGTCTGCACACTTCAGAAAGGAATCAAGATCTTCCCTAAAAAGTAACTGTCTTGACACACTCTCTGAGAAGTGGAAGGATACACTAGGAACTTTATTCTCAGTATTTACAGTTTTAACACAAAGTTAAACAGAAACAGTATTTCACCCCAAAAGTGTTGTTATTCCTTTAGAACCCAATAGTTTCTTGATCCATACTATGAACCTACCCTGCAATATCAGAAGACACTAATGGACAAAATGGAACCTCTAGGCTTCTGGGGGCTCATTTACAGGATTTACATAAACTACACATAAATTAAGCACTCTGAATTCTTCACTCGAACTGGATATCTAAGAGTCACACCATAAACCAAAAGACACCAGTAAAGCTTGTTGACAATGTTCTATAATAACACTGTTGTAATAAGCAGAATTACTAAATTTACACCAATGCAACAAAGCCATTAAACCATACAGAATGATAGAACATGCTGAGTTGGAAGGCACCCAGATGGATCAACATCTCAAATTTCTAACCCTGCACAGCACTATCCCCAAGAGTCACACTATGCGCCTGAGAGCAGTCTGAAGGCTTCTTGAGCTCTGTCAGGCTGGTGCTGTCACTACTGCCCTGGGAGCTGTTCTGGTTTCCAACCACCCTCTGGGTGAAGAATCTTTCTCTAATACCCAACATAAACCACCCCTGACTCAGCTTCAGGTCATTCCCCCAGGTCCTGTCACTGGTCAGCACAGAGAAGAGACTGGTTCCTGCCCCTTCCTTTCCCCTCATTAGGGTGTTGGAAGACTGCAATGAGGTCTCCCCTCAGTCTCCTCTTCACCAAAATGAACAAACCAAGTGATCTCAGCCACTTCTCATACAGCTTCCCCTCCAGATCCTTCACCATCTTCCTTTTTCCTCCTTTGGATACTCTCTAACTCATCTAGTTTGATGTATTTCTGATGTTGTGGCACCCAGAACAGCCCCCAGCACTGGAGCTGAGGCTGCCCCAGCTCAGAGCAGAGCAGGACAATCGTCATCCTTGCCCCGCTGGTGATGCTGTGCCTGATGCCCCCCAGGACATCCTGTACATGTCCCTCCTGGCTGCCAGGGCACTGCTGGCTCATGTTCAGCTTTCAATTGACCAGGACCCCCAGGTCCCTTTTCATGCACTGCTTTCAAGCATCTCATTTCCCAGTCTCTCCAAACATCCAGGGTTGCCCCATCCCAGAATCCAGCACTTTCCCTTGTTGAACCCAGGATCATGACTGCTCTCATTTGTGGAGGCCTCTCTGCCCTCAAGGGATTTAACAGCTCCTCCCAATTTTGTGTGGTCATTAAACTTAGTATTCCTTCCAGTCCTGTGTCCAAGTGTGGGTAATCCATGAAGACATTGAAGAGAAGTGGGCCATGCACATAGGCTGTATACAGTAATTAAAGGTACACTCTACCCAGTGCAAGTTATTTTGAGGTATAGTCAGTCTAGGCACCAAACTTTCCTCCATGCATTAGCAACTTCTAATCTGGCGTACTATCCAGAAACAAACATACAAACCCCCTAACAATCAAACAAATTCCTGCAGAGAGTAATAGTGAAAGAGGGCAAAAGGCAGCAGTCTTAGCAATCTTCAGCGAGAACAACACTGATGCTGCAATTCAAGCCTCTCCATTACCTCAACCTCTTTACTGCATAAAAGAACAACACAATCATTTTATGGGGGACAAACCACAACCAAATTATTTAAACTGGCTATAATGTATTTTTTTAAACCTGCAAGGGAAAGAAAAAAATCCCTTTACAACAATAGGTTTCTAAAGAAACACTTCATTTTGGAATACCTAAACACCATCCTTGACCATTGTTTTAAAAATTCAGATGAACAATCAACTGACTTCCATAGGTTCACTTGTATGTACCCTTCAGGATATACAAAAGGAAGACTGAAAGATGGCTTCTCCTACATTAGCTGTAAGTTATATAATAGTCTCCCTAGAATCGACCAGAACAGACAATCACAGAAGCACGTAATCTCATCTCATCACCTAAAGTTACAGGACACAAATCCCATTCTCAGCAACTGCTGACTCAGGAATTTTGAACAAAATGGGCTGATTGAGATACATGCAACTGGAAGAGAGTGGATTATGAAAAAATAGCAATGATAGTGGTAAGGTTGATAACTTGGTGCCATTATGTGCAGGTTTAGGTGTTAGCACAAGAAGTTTCAAAAGACATGAAAGTGTACATGTATCATTTTATGATTACCTGTCATTTCGAAAAACTCTAGGCAGGTATCTCCTAGGGAACCACATGGCAAGAGCACACATCAGAACCCAGAGAATAGCCAGCTCATCCAGCATCTGGCCTAAAAAACTGAGGGTGGCGTGAAAATAAACAGATCCAATTCCTGGAAGAATGAATCAAGAGACAGTATTATGAACAGCTGCAGTACCGTAATAGACTGAAACTCCCTGCTTATGCTCAGAACTTCACAGGAAATGGTAGCTACCATTTGATCTAGAAAAGGTTATAAAAACCACCAGCTTTACTAAGAGACAATCCAAGTCATCATATCCTTGTTAATAATGAAGAAAAGTACACTACAAAAGTAGAAGCTAAAAATGACAGCTCCTACTGGAAAAGATGTACATGAAGAAACATCAGGTGGAAAAGTGTAAAGCAAAACAAATTCAGAAATTAATGCCAAATGCTGCTTCGGAATTTTCTCAATAGCACAAGAATGGGTAAGACAAAGAAAAAAAGCAGCATCTGATGACTACTCCACGATACAGATTTACAGGTGGAAATTGTCACACTACCCCAGAGGGCTCTGATTATCCCCTTGACGTGCCTCCAGGAATGAATAAACTTCAGAATCTCACATCTACATCTTTGTGCTTCTCAGTACAATGAAAACCCTATTCCTCTCTTGAGTTGCCCTGGCATTTCAGCCCTCATTTAAGCAAAGAAGGTGAGCACTGCTTACTGACTGAGTAAACCCAAGTGTAAAATGTCTTGTGGTTCTATTTTTTAGGGTTGAGATTAATGAGCAAGAGACAGTATTCCTGTCTGGAATCACAGATGTTTATTGTTTTTATCTATGTTAGATTTTCACAAACTGTGAGTCTTTTAACACATTAAGCTAATAAACTAAAAGTGGAGCCTTAGATCTTTTTCTACAAGGTTTTTTAAGTGTAAACCACTCAATTATAAAATGCTAACTAATTTATTTTTACTTTTAACTCAATAACTAAATACCTGTCCTCCACACTGCAGACTATTCTACTCTATTACACAATATCACCCAAACCCATGAAGGTGAAAAAGCAAGACAAGCTTATGCCCTAAAACTTTCATCTTGCTACATATGTATTACTGTATCTCAAAACTTTAAACTCTAAATTTTCTACTATGTGATATAACACACTTTTATTGAAACTACATACTCACATTTTTAGCTCTATCATTTAATTTTGGAAGGTTTTTCTATGGCTTCAGGTTAAATACAGTGTTCTCTTGTGGGTTAGTGTCTGTCAGCACAGAAAGCCTGAAATTCTCTGTGGCCGGGGTTCTAACACCCAAACACATAAAAAAGAAAGTATGCAAGGAAGGATTGGAAGGGAACAGAACTATGGTCAAAATTCCCACCAAACTGAGTTTGAAAAGGCATTTTCCCTACAGAAACTATGGCTGCTTTGGCTTTAAGCAAGTACAAGCACATTCTTCCACAGATGTCAGGATTGCTTTGTTTTAAAAAACAGTTAAGTGCAAGTAGGAAAAACTGATGTCCTCTCTCAGTTCACACATTAATTGGCAAACACAGAATAATCAACTTACCAACCACGACTAGCAGAATCCATATTAAATATATTCCACTGTTGAAGCAGATTGCATACTGACGGAACAAGTACATACATATGGGCGGTAAAACGAAAAACAAGACGTTGCTTATCTAGGAGAAAAAAAACAAACAGTCTCACAAAGACAGAAAATAAACAAATCTTAAATATCCACAGGCTTTCTATAATAACATTTTAGCATTCAGTGAAGCCCCAGCTCAACAAATTATGACATCCATGTTTCTGCCTATGCTTTAGCTTTTTGCAAAAGCATCAACTTGTTTTGTTTAACATCATTAAATTAGTAACAGCATAAAAACTTTCAGCAATGTAAAATGTAGCTAGTTAATTCAAGTCAATTCACAAAGGAGTTTTATTGAGAACCTACTACATTCAAGACTGGCAATTCAGAAAGCATAGAAGATCAAGCTATTGAGACCAGTGACCTGCCCTCTCAATGGCTATCAAGCCTAACACGGAAAAAGCACTAGAAGCATTAGGCAGAGCTAGACAAGCTTTCTGGAAGTCAATTTACTGAGCAATAGTTACTGTCTGGAAGGGCTGAAATATGCTAGGCTAAAAGAATTAGAACCCGTTTTGTGCAGGGTAAAGAGAGCCTAGAGTTTTTACACTTCAATTTTTTCCCTTGGTTCTCCACTACAAAACATGATTGAAAACTAGTCATAGGAAGGTGGAAAGGCTATAATTCAGATCACTGGTAGGGTTTTTTTAAATGTATATGTATGATTTGAATGAAGGCATGTTTTCTGTTTTTTCTTGCTTACAAAAAGCCTAAAGTATGATTCTGTAGATATTGAAAATACTTTACTATAAATTAGCAGGAACTGTCATTGTAGTAATGATCACTTGGTTCTTTCCAGGAGCTGCCAGTGCTGAGGGCCAGCCACTGCACAGTAACTGAGAAGTTATAAAAACACTATGTTGCTGCTTCACAATGGGCCAAAGGACAGGAGGGGTGTCCAGCCTCCACTTTTTAATGTTTTCCTGCTTAGCCCAAGCACAAGAGAAAATCACACCCAGCAATACTACTCTGAAGCTAATGGAGAAAACTACTCTGGGTCAAGAACATTCCATTGGGACAGACTGTCTCTTCACAGAGACTTACAAATTTGTACCTACAATAATGAAAATTCAGTGCAGAAATAATTCAAGAATAATGTAGGAATTTTTTCATTCACCTACTGTTGTCAACCTCTTAACATGATGTGAGAAAAGATTTTAAGAGGCAGATCAAGTTGTTTTAACTCATGTAAAGCAACCTACACATTCAACAAAACAGGTTCACCTGAGCAACTTTCATTCACAAAAAAACCCATCCGGTCTCCATGCAGCACAGACTGTCAGCAAAGTTGTGAATACGGTCATGGACCAGGATCCCAGTGCCTGATGTGTTGGTACATACACAGAACAGGAAGCATACCTGCTTTCCTCACTCCAAAGCAGGTAGGAAGCATATACAGCAAAAGCAGGGATGATGGAATATGAACAAGTCCTCTGGGGGCGTGGGAATGCTCTATGCATTTTAGGCTTTTATACACCTTTAGGCCACAGGGAAGTGTCAAGGAGCAAAAATAGGTGGTTACAAACCAAGTGGTTTGGAAGTAAACTTTTCCATCTCTACAGCTGAAACTGACCAATGAAGAAAATCAGATCAGGTGAACACAATCGATTAAAATTTGGCTAGAAAGTTCTTATTCCACCTAGGAACAAGATGATAAAGGACACACTAGATCTACTTACCACAGCTGTAGCAATGTAGATTTATACAAGTGATTAGCCAACAAGGGAGCACTTCTGTGCTATGGTAGTGCTTCTCTGGCAGTGAACTCATGCTAAGGTCCTGTCTGCAAATGCAAGAAACCCCTTGCAAACTGGAGCCTGAGCATGACTTACACTCTTTGTGTGGCCATCAGGAGGATTTCCTAACATCTCAGAAGCTGAAATAACTGTAGTACTAAAAATTTCAATATTAAAGTATTGCTTCAGAAAGTATGGCTGCAGAAAGTACGCTGCATGTGCATTTTTTATGTTATTACACAATTAGCCCCCATGATTTGGTAACGTACAATTCAAATACTTTGATAGTTATGATAAGTGCAAAAATTTACATCAGTAGTACATAAGATTTCTGCATCTGCAAAAGGCAATAATTAAATGTTACAGTTCTGGAAAATAGGCAAATAGCCCATCAGTAACATTCCATTCTTTTGGCTTCATGCAATTCTGGATCTTTAGTTTTAATTTTCAGCTAATTAATTATATTATAGAAATTCATGACATAGGCCCATAGGACACAGAGAATGGGCTTGCTTAGATCATGATCATGCAACTTCACTCACATCTGTGTGAAGTCTTGACACAGTTTGTTTCCTGCAGTCGTACCAAAGCTCATGTGTTTGCCACTATTGGTTGCATCTCCCAGAGAGCAGCTGCAGCATTCAACTACCACAGAAACGTACTGCACCATGTCTTCCTGAGCAGAAAGCAAAACTGGACTAAAGCAGCTCCCAGTAACATCAGAGATTGTGTATTCTCCATATCCTAGTACCTAAACATCACATTCACATACACTAAACCTCTTCAGTGGTAAAAAAAGATGCTGTAGGGAGAGCACAAGCATTGCGTCACACTCTTGAGATTGCCTCTTAACTTTTTAAAACTTTTATTTCCATGCCACTAGAGGACAAAAGAAGAAGAATAAAACCCTGGCAATTCTCTTCATAAATGGAAATTACAATAACTACATGCCACATATTGAATTGCTAGGTATTGACTTTCCCAGCCAACAGGAAAAAAAAAATACACTCTTCAGGTATTTAAAACATAAGCAGCATCTTTTATTTTGTAAATACCTCTTCACAGGAAAGATTATTTTGATCACATGGAGGCTTTTGTTATGGTCTGACGTAGGGTTACACCACATCAGCACACATTACTTTATTAATTTCAGAAGAAAAAAAAAGAAAAAAATAGGGTTTTTTTAAAGCTATTCCTTCAATCTGAGCTACAGAGTGTTTTGTGGCCTCTTTACCGAAATAGTGTAAGACCTGAATCACTTTAGCTAGACAAAAGTCATGGTAACTCTAGCCTGTGTATGTTTTAGAAAATTAGTCTGATCAATTTAGAGAACACCTCTGAACAGATTTCTCCTATTGATTTAATCTCAACTAAATCAGTTGAGTGCTTTGGTTTAAGTCCCACCAGAATAAGTAATTATTTTTTTAAAAAATATGTTTCAGATAAGCTGCTACAGCTTTGTGCTTACATGAATATTGTGTGAGGCCTCAACCACAATTCTGACCTCAGCCATGGCAGTGTAAAATGCGGATTAACAAGGTATAAATCTAAAGCTTAATGACCCAGATGCCAGATTCAGGTCTGCTGGAGAGTGCTTCCTAGCTCTTCAAGAGTTTGAATCAGTCAGAACAAACTCCCCCTAGAAGGAATAAAATTTAGATGCCACCTAAGGAACTTTTAGAGTAGGGCCAAAACTTCATAACTATCCTGTAAGGATCTGGTTTTTTTGAGGACACAGTTGCATAACCCTTTCGATCCACTGCAATTCAGTGTTTTTTCAGAAGTTCCTAATACAGAATTCAAGTCCTAACAATGATTTGGGATAACTGAAGAGAGCCTAAACATGACTACCCTCAACATTGCCTCTTTTTTTCCTCCCCTTTCACTGTACAGCTTAGATTTGTATATAGCTGCCACGACACAGCAGGCTTTAGGGCAAACTTCTGTGTCTGTCTACCTGTCTGAAGCCTCAGTTATTCATCTGGACACAAGTGTATCTTCTAGCATTTTGGCAAGCTTCTATACTACTGCTAATCAGCTCAGTACAGTGTTGTGATTTAATCCCACCCAGCAATTTAGCAATACCAAGCTGTTTGCCCACTCCCTTCACAGCAGCATGGGGGAGAAAATCAGAAAGGTAAATGTGAGAGAACTTGTGGGGGTTAAGATAATAACAGTTCAATAGGGAAAACATGAGCTGTTCACACAAGCAAAGTGAAATAAGGGATTCATTCAGCACTCCCCATGGACAGGCATGTGTTCCCCATCCCCAGGAAAGCAGGCCCCCATCACACGGAAGAGTGACTTGAGAAGACAAACACCACCACCCTAAAGGCCCCAACTGCTTCCTTCTTCCTGCAGCTCTACATGCTGATCATGACACCATACCTATAGCCTGGGAAATCCACTGAGTCAGCTGGAATTAGCTGTCCCAGCTGTGTCCCCTCCAAAAGTTTTCTGCATCCCCAGCCCACTTGTTAGTTGGGCGAGGTGAGAAGCAGAAAAGGCTTGAATAAGCCCTGCTTAGAAGTAATGAAGACACGCCTGAGTTATTAACACTGTTTCCAACACAAAACATAACCCCATACCCATTCCTATGAGGATAACTCACTCTACTCCAGACTGAGCCAGCACATACAGAAGAAGGATACCCATCCCCCTGTGTAGCTGGCTACAAATCACATTTGCTGTCTTCGAAAACTTGTTTATCCCAACCTTTTCCTCCCTTTGTTTTTGGTTCTTACACAGTGACATCAGACACACAAAAAAAGCCAACAATTTCCCTCACACACCCTCAAAATTCTTCAGTGGAACAGACCAGACAGCATCTTTAGGACCTTGGTAGCTAAGCACAAGAAAAAAACAAGTTAGCAATGTATACAGTTCACCACAGAATTACTTGCTCTGTATGTGCAGAACCTCCTATGATACAAACTCTAGTAGGGGAAGCCAGACACCTACTTCTTCTTCCACTATGTGTTGTCAGTCAAAAAAACACGGCTTGAAAGGGAAAGAGGATGGAATTTGGGAAAAAAAGCCCTGTACACTTTAAAATATAAAAGAGACAAAGCAGAAGCTCCAGCTCCTCATCTATGCACACACCACCTCCTACAGAACAGAAAACAGCATTTGCAGGTTTGCTCATGGACACGTGATTTTCATGGAAGGGTAAACTAACCAAAAGCCCAATGGATTATCTTATTCTAATGGATCTGTCACTGCCATTCTTTACATCAAGAGGATGTCAGGAGCATGGCTCCCTTTCCAAGCTGTGTGGTACAGGGCAGTCTGGCTCTGCTACTGTGGTTGTTTTTCTAAGTTCTCTCCAGCAGCTGAAAGGTACTGGAAAGGTGAGAGAAGACTGGGGGGTAAACCATGACTAACTGGAAGGAAGCAACTATTTATACTAATATAGCAACTAATATATTCCTCTTATCCGTTATTCCTCTTCCCTCTCATTCCATTCTTCAGTTGCTCTTTTAAACAGATACCTCCTCCTCTTCCAAAAACACACTCCTGACTTCATCCTGCAACCTAAAAGCAGACTCTCCATGAAAGCTTTGCCTTCCTGGAGCCAAACATGTTTGGGAGAAACCCAGTTTTGCCTCCAAACACCAAGGTATTTTTTTATCTTGACCCATCACTGCTGTGCACACCCATCAAGGTGCTGACACCTGTTTGTGCAAATGGGTACTAGACCACGGCAATCTAGCACCAAAAATTCGGTGCTTGGCCACCACAAGTCTCGACAAAGACAAGGACAGGGCCTGCTACACACTACTTACCGGTAGTAGCATGACTAGTAAACCTCCCCATTTTATACCTGAAAAACTAGGTAAAAATGCCTTATTTTTAAGCACGCCAGCAACCGAAGGAGAAGTCGACAGCCATTGGAGAGCATGCTACAATCCCAAGAAAACCCCGCAGGAGACGGAGCTAGCAGGCAGCAGGGACCTGCCCGCCGCCGCACGCTTGCCCACCCGCAGTCCCCCGGCGACGAGGGGCCGCCGCTCCCGCTCCATCGGGCACCGCCGCCGTACGCACCGTGTTGTAGAACTCGGCGATGGCGGGCACGATGGTATAGTTGTCCTCGCACCAGTCCACCTCCGAGCTGCCGGCTCTCAGCGGGTCCCACCACAGCAGCGCGCCCATCACGCCCGCCCAGCCGCCGCTCCGGCCCTGCCCGGCGGCGCTGCGGGGCGGTGACCGCGCCGCCGCCCCCGCCTCCCCTCCCCGGCCCGCGCAAGGGGCGGGGCGGCCTCGGGCCGGCCCTCCACGGGCGGAGGCCGCGGGGCTCCGCTCCGCTTGGGGTGCCTGCGCCTGTCCCGTAGGTGCCGGGCGGTGGGACCGCCAGCTCCCCGGCGGGTTTGAGCAGCCAGCTGCTCCACAGGGCCACGCTCGCCTCCCTTGTGCTTAGAGATATCTCACACAGAATCACAGAACTGTTACGTGGAATGGATCTCTGGAGATCACCCAGTCCAACCCCCCTGCCAAGGCAGGGTCACCTAAAGCTGGTGACACAGGAACACGTCCAGGTGGGTTTTGAGTGTCTCCACAGAGGGAGGAGACTCCATAGCTTCCCCGGGCAGCTGTCCCAGTGCTCTGCCACCCTCAGTGTAAAGAAATTCTTCATGTTAAGGTGAAACTCCCTGTGTTTTAGTTTAAGGCCATTACTCTATGCTGTGCCACCGGGCACCAGTGAAAAGAGTCTGGCGCCATCCTCTTGGCACCCACCTTTAAGATGTTTCTATGCTTTGATAAGATCCCCTCTCAGTCTTCCCCAGACCAAACAGGCCCAGCTCCTGCAGTCTCTCCGCACAAGAGAGATGCGCCAGACCCCTGACCATCCTTGTGGCCCTCCACAGTAGCTCCGTGTCTCTTCCCTGCTGCGGAGGCCAGAACTGGACACGAGACACGGTCTCAGTTCCAGCCGTGTTTTGGAGAGGAGCGGCCGCTCCCCCACGCCCCTGCTCCCGAGCGCAGAACGTGTTGGACACAGCGCCGGCAGGGAGCCGGGAAGCCCATCCCGGCGGGAGCCGCTCAAAGAACGCGCTTTCCCCTGAGAGCCTGCGAGTCGCGTATTGATGGCGCTTCTTTTCACAAGTGCCAGTGCTCCCAGCCCCGGAACGCCTGCGTGCTGTTCCACGGGTCGTTCCTAAGGAACATTCTCCGCGGCGAGCGGCATCTCGAGGGACCAATGAGAGAGGCACGGGCCTACCCCAGGCAGGAACCAAGTGCCCGAAGCAGGGCGCGGGTAAGGGCCGGGGCCTGCCCGCGCACCGAGGCCACGCCCACGACCTCTCCTTCCGGCCACGCCCCTCGCAGTAAAAGCCTCGCTCGCCATTGGGCAGCCCCGGTCACGCGGGGCGCGGGTGATACTGCTCTCGCGAGAGTTTCTGGGTGTATGTAAGAAGTGCGGGCGGAAGTGCGGCCTTTTCCCGCGGTGTCGAAGCGCGAGCAGGATGAAGGTAGGGCCGCGCCGGGCCGGGGCCGCGCTCGGGTAGGGGCTGCTTGGCCTCCCCCGCCCCAGATGGCCCCCGGGCTACCTGCAGAGCCGCCGTTGGTGGCCGATGGTACTTGGCGGCGGGGCTGGAGCGTAGCTGCGGGGCGGATGGGAGTGGATTGCTGGTGGGCCCCGCTCCATCGGCCGGGGCTCTGCTGCCGCAGGCCTGCGGAGCGCCGGGCTTCCGGAGCGGCCTCTTGGCTCGGAAGGGTTTTTGCCGGTGAGAGGCCTGTGCGCGATTTTAGGGCCTGGTAGGGAGGTGCCCTGGGTGCTGTTCCCGAGGCAGTGGCGGCAGGAAGCTCTGCAGCGCTGCGCTGTGCAGCGGCCCCAGGGAAGCACAAGTGATCCCTACGGCAGGTGCTGTTCCCTTGCAGTGACTTTCGCGTCTGTCTAACGCGGTGTCTTGCTATGAGGGGTTGGTAGGAAGAGGAGAGCACAGGTTTCTGTTGGCCGCATTCTGTGATTGATCTTTGACTGCTATAAAGTCAGTTTTCTGTGTGGCTGAACGAATTGTATAGCCTGGTGTGGGCGACCATAGACCTCCCTGCCTTGGGTCTCCAAATGTGGTGGTGATGACAGGTTTTTTGGTGAGCTTTTGTGTAAGCAGCTGCGGAATTCCAGCCTTAAAATGCCAAGCTCAACCATCAGATAAGTTCTGACTTGTTAAAGTTTCACTTAGAAGTTTCAACCAAATGTTTTTGGGTTTTGTCTTTTTTTTTTCTTTGTTAGCTCAACATCTCTTTCCCGGCTACTGGCTGCCAGAAGCTCATTGAAGTCGATGATGAGCGTAAGCTCAGGACGTTTTATGAAAAGAGAATGGCCACGGAGGTGCTGGCTGATTCCCTCGGTGAGGAGTGGAAGGTAAGTAGTGCAGAAGATTGTGTAAAAATTACATTTAAGGTGCTTAAAATACAAAATGACTCAAGTACGCACTTGTCACGCTGTGGTGCTGTGCATGTGGCAGTCAGGTTGAAAGTTTATGTTACTATGTATGTGCTGAACTTACTGGTTAGGCTAGCCTCTTTTGGTATTTCATCTGAGTGTGGGGTTTTTGGTTATTTGAGTGCTGTCTCTTGGTAGTCAGGATATACGTTAAATCCACAGTGTAAAACTGCTGGTCTGTTCAAAATTGACTTTGTTTAAACAGCTGTTAATGTATGGGAAAAAATACGTTGGGCCTGGTGGGTGGAATTTTCCTGGCTTGGAATAGTTAGCGTTAATATAGATACACAGCTGCATTTGAGGAATGTGATCTTTCCTGCTGCTGCCGTCACAAGGAAGATGGCCAAACCCATATTTTTCCTTTTATCCTGTGCATCACTATTCTGGGAACTCCTGTGTTCTGGGCAGATTTCCAGTTTGTCGAGATAACTGACTTAGTTACAAGTGCTACAATTGTGGGAAATCAGACAATAATTGTAAAAGATTTTGCACTGTGTTACTTTCCAACAAAATGTCAAAGGGATATGAATCCCACTAAATGTAAATTTTAGTGTACGGAGATACTTCTTACATTTCTTGAGTAAAATTGCTGAATTGTTCCAAAGGTTTTGGTTAGAGTTGTTTGCACTAGCAGTAACAGTGATGTATTATGGATGTGCTGCTCCGTTGTTCCATGCAGTCTGTTGTGCTGTCTCCTACCTGCCGAGGTAATAAAGACAGGAGTAACTCAGAAATGTTTCTGTTCACAGGGATATGTTGTCCGGATAAGCGGTGGCAACGACAAGCAGGGTTTTCCCATGAAGCAGGGTGTCCTGACTCACGGACGTGTCCGCCTTCTGCTCAGCAAGGGCCATTCCTGCTATCGCCCCAGGAGAACCGGCGAGAGGAAGCGCAAGTCTGTCCGCGGCTGCATCGTTGATGCAAACTTGAGTGTCCTGAACTTAGTCATAGTGAAGAAGGGTAAGAGTCTGGTTGTTGTGTGGAATGGAAATGGCAGTCCCAATTTCAGAGTGTGAACGTGTCTTAGGAATTCCTTGAGAGTTTTGCATTCTTATAATAATGCTAAAATTGGTCACTAAAAACACTTGTTGTTGCTGCCACCAATCTGACAGTTTCAGAGGAGCCAAGAGTAACTGGGGTAGTGCTATTGACAGGTGAACCCCAATACCTAGCATTACCTTGAATTCTTACATATGTTAAACTTAGCAGTTTGCTGCTGAACCTGGTGCTCAGCAGCATAATGATTAGCATGTTTAAACTTAAATTCCCAAAGGTGAAAAGGACATTCCTGGGCTGACTGACACAACTGTGCCCCGTCGTCTGGGTCCCAAAAGGGCCAGCAGGATCCGCAAGCTGTTCAACCTCTCTAAGGAAGACGATGTTCGCCAGTATGTTGTGAGGAAGCCTCTGAACAAAGAGGGTAAGAATTCCCAGTAGTACAGCTCTTTCGGTTTCTGTAATTACTGCTGACATGTCCAGCTACTACACTAAATAAAGCACAGTTAATAGTGTATCTAGGAAGTTGACATTCACTATATTTAAGCTTTGTCAGCTGTAAGTTGTGGGAAAAAAGTATGAGTTTCTTGGTTGCCTTGTTTCCTTCACTTTCTGCTGTGTTTTGTTACAGTTTATTCTTAAACGTCCAGATACTCCAGAGCTGGAGCAACTTTTACTAGTGTCTCTAAGAATAAGCCAAAAGTAGTTACTAATAAAGTTAAATACAAGGTGGGATATTGTTAAAACTTTTATGGTGTGGGGGAAAAGGCAGTGAAGAGAGATATACTAAGATGTTTTTCTCCCTGCTTATGGCAGGCAGTCTGAAATGAGGTTCTTTGGCAGGGCACTGCTCTGCTTACTACGTCTCTTGCAGTGTAAGGTTTTAATTTTGGTTTTTTCTGCTTTTGATTGGGGTAAAAAAGTATGTTTTTTAGAAGAATATGATAAGACTTGCATACTGCTAAAAGTTTGTTCGGGAAAAGAACACATTGTAGGAAATGTTCTTCTCCATTAAAGAATATGATCCTGGTGGATCATATTGGGTGTATGACTGCTAAAGTCTGTCAGGATTGCTTAGTGAAATTTTATTTTACAGATGTGTGTGGTAGTGTAATTTGTTTGCTCGTTGTGTAGGTCTGTTTGTTGGTATAAACAATGTCAAACCTAAGTAAAATTGTACATGGCTTTTTAATGCTGGGAACGGTGGATTGCTCTGGAAGCTATGTAATGAACCCCTTTGTTAACTAAAAAATCTTGGCTAGGGGGAGTTACAAGAGACAGGCCTGAGAAGCTAGGAATTTACATTTAATTTCTCATAACAAATTATTAGCATTCAGTCAGCATGTTGTTAATGCTGGTGATAATTGATCATTTTTCCTGTACAGTCTGTGAAGATGTTGGACTGTAGTTGGTGTAACATGTAGCACACTACATAGTTTTACCTTAACAATAAATCAAACTTACACTTAAGTTGTCTAGATGAGACCTGTGACCTGAAGGCACTCTGCCACTTCAGCTGATCTGTAATGATTTTTAGGCAAGAAACCCAGAACGAAGGCTCCTAAGATCCAGCGACTGGTGACTCCTAGAGTGCTGCAGCATAAGCGCAGGCGTATTGCCCTGAAGAAGCAGCGCACTCAGAAGAACAAGGAGGAAGCTGCAGAGTATGCGAAGCTGTTGGCCAAGAGGATGAAGGTATGTTTGCTATTTTAGCTCAG